AGTCTGACGCCATGACCAATATTTATCAATTAAGTTTCAGTGGGGGGTAGGGGGGTTTGGAAAAAAACTAAAGGAATTAAGTTTTTTATCCGACATCGATCTTTTGACGTCGTCCCTTAAATTACATAAAATCAAAATGTAAAATACTTTATTTTCGCTGGAATTAATTTTTGCTGAAAAGGCTTTTTGGGTGTTTTGTATGGAATTTATTTTCATTGATTTTTGATGAGTTGAATGTGAAATATAGTAAAAAAAAAAGTACATTCAATTTCATTTTCACTGAATAAAGTATTCTACAGTATTTGTTATTCATCATGGGATGGTCTTTAAAATTTCTAATGTATTTCATGTTTGTACGCAAGTCTCAGCACCACTTTATACACAGATGAGTTTAACCTTTAACCTTGTAGGCTGCTATGGAAACTGATATGTTTGAAATTACTGAACCCTGTCTGTCAGTCTCCACCGATCATTGAATCTTCTCAAGGCCCAGTGAATCAATGCAAAGAAAAAAAACCTTTATGATTGTAAAGCCACCCTGAAAATTGACACAATACTAGGATCAGCCTTCCCAATTTGTGAAACCTGGTCTCCACAGATGTATATTTAATTAGATCTCTCGTCTACATAGTTATACAAAAGGGAGAAATATACAAGGGTCATAGGTCGTCAGCAAACTTTATACAGAAGCGTGGTCGATAACCTAAATGTCTTTAAAAGCAAGACTAAAATAAATAAACTTTGCACCAGTCACCTGATATAGTCGGTTGATTTCTTTTCATTTGATTAAACATTACCAGGTACTCTATAATTTCCTGGCAACATGCCAATATGCGATTGTAATCGTATTATCGGTAAGTACACTGTTGCCAGATTTGACTGAGTTTCTGTCAAGGAGAATTTAATGTTTTGTTTTAAAAGGTAAATTGGTTTATCTCACTTCTTATGGAGTGGTTATTTTGTATAATTTTTTTTAACTGTATATAAATCGGTCATTTTTAGTTTTCCAATCTATCACTATTAAGAGTAACAAGGATATATACATATGTATTATAAATACAGAGTCACTGAGGCGAAGAAATTATTTCTATTTCGAAAAAAAAAAGTTTTTGCAAGGAATGACATGAATGGTAATGTTTTATTTAATATGATTTTAAAAAATAACAAGAACCAACACATACCAAAAATTATTATTATGTTAGTATTCTAAATATCCAAACATATTTTAGAATAAGGTAGTAATAATCAAGTTTTTGATTTGTAAATGGAATTTTAGAAAAGACCAGCTGGGTATGAAATGACATAGGACCTAATCTTTGTCTCAAAAGTGTGGTTATTCACTTAAACAAGTTTAAAAAAACAATTTTTCTCAGGTATTTAATAATGTGATCTTCTACTTTGTGAACATGATTTGACTATTAAGATCTAATTAATATGTAACATCCTAATCTTTGTCTCAAAAGTGTGGTTATTCACTTAACAGGTTTAAAAAAACAATTTTTCTCAGGTATTTAATAATGTGATCTTCTACTTTGTGTACATTTGACTATTAAGATCTAATTAATATGTAACATCCTATTTTACCCCGCCAATATTTCTGTAAAACATAGACATAATTTTGTTTAAAGGGTCTCATATAAACAATGAGTACAAACTGAGACGTTACCAAGCTTAAATTTGGTATTTTCCAGGTTATTGTATGGTATCGAAGGAGTCACCGGCGGTAATCAGTGCAAGTCGCGCACAGGTCAACCCTCATACTTGTGATTTCTATTTGAACAGTGACAAAACTTGAATCTAATACTCAATGAATGAAGGTCAGGAACACCAGAATAAAAATTTACAAGATCACTTTTCTGAACATAACTTTTTTTTATAGTATTTATGTC